TATTTAAAAATGTATTTTAAAAGTGCATGTAATATCCGAGTATTTAACTAGACTGCGGTTGAATTTTGTACTTAGGATGCCTAAATTTATTTGATAGCGCGAGTCTAAAAAGACAATCCGCTAGAGAGTATCTGTCAGGCACAAATTTATCTCAATTATAATAAGATGGATTATAAGAAACAATTTTAAGTCACCATTAAATAACTAAGAGGGAAAACAGGACAGATTCTTGATAAAACGAGGTAAAAACAAACAAAGAAAAAAAAAGCAGAGAGAAATATATATATATAAGAACGAAAAACAATTTATTTTCTGTCCGAAGACACAACGCACTTAGAGCCTATGGTAGGGTTTACTCCTTAATTTATCACGGTTGCCTAACAGGACATCCTAAGTACTGCAGCGCGTGTCACGAGGCATCGACCATTAGGATTCGCCACGTTGATGGCCTAGACTCGGAAAACCTAACCCGTGACAAATGATCTAGTCGGCTAGACATTCCGATGCAAAAACGATCGTTGCGTCTCCACTCGACCGGAGATGTATACACAACTCCTGCAATGACAGTTCTCCTTTATCCGTCTCCTTTACAGACTTGGTCGGGCGCATTGGGGAGGGGTGTTGTTAATTATGCATGCTTAAAGTGGTAAACCCCTGTCAACGAACCGGCTCAAGTGATGACATAATCTCCCACGGACCATAAATTATCGAACGCTAGCCACCCAGGATTAGGACAGGTGCGACGGGTGGGGTATAGTTTTTTCATCTGCTCTCCCTCGGAGTGGTTTTTTTTTCATGTGCGCTCGATTTACGCTCTCCTCCTCAGGTATTTACATTTTAATGGGTGAGCGAAACTATAGAATCGATCTCTGATGCCTTTCAAGACCCGGTCTCAGTTATACTTTTTAGATTTGGCTATCGAATGAATGGCTCTAAAATAGCTTAATGCTAAAATGAAATCGAGTGCCGTCTACGGTTCGTCGATAAAGTTATTATCGATACGCATTAGGATCCAAAATGATATTTCTTATACAGTTTTGAATAGAATTAAGATCCGTAAGAAAACAGTTTGATTTTATTTAAACCATAGGCCTAATGTTTGAAAAGTTTGGCATTTTAAAAGTATTTTAAAGTGTATAGATATTTTAAGTTTTTAAATAAGTTATTTTAAAGTTTATGAATTTGATTTTTCATCTAAAAAATTTTCATTTTTTATTCCTTCTCCGATAATAAAATCATATCAGAACAATACAGATAGATCTTTAGATCTTATACTAAGCGTTTATTTTATGTAAGTTATATAAGATGAGATGATTACAGATACTGTACAGTATAGTACCATACAATACATATAAGATGTATATTTGTATTCATCCCACTAAAACTTTCAGATCTATAATACAATCTGAAAATAATATATAAAATCACAATAGATACGCTGAAAACTGCAATAAGTTAACTTAATATAATTGTAACTCTTCATGATTAACAATTATTTTAATGATGATTATTCGAAGAAATAAAAGATTAGCAAATGCTATCTATATTTTTGTTTTATTTTTAATAAGATTCGTTTAGACAACTGTGTGAACCCCTTATTTTCGTTAAAATTGTTAAGGCCTTAGATATTCCTTGTTAAAGAGAAGACATCTTATTTCATCAGACATATTTATTTTTGATACACTGCCATCTGCTAGGGATATTACATTTATTATATAATCAATACAGTCTATATATATATATACATCATATAATCAATATTTCTAATTAATATTAATAATTCAGCTATAATTTGAAGTTATTTTAATAAAATACATAACATAACACGAACAATTTATTATACGCTTTATACACTATATTTACAATGTTTACGAACAGAATTTGAATTAATATCGATGACTTTGGATGAAAATTAGCAAAAGTCATAGATGATTATACTCACTCGTTTCTTTTATAAAATATAATGATCAAGAATGTCTTTATTTATAAAAACACTTTATTATGAGTAATATTTATTTTTATAATTTTGAGTTCGAATTGTTTAGATTTAATTCCCATAAATAGATTTAGTTTATATCTTTATGTAAAATGTGACAAAAATTTGTATATTTTATTTTTAAAAATTGTAATTTAAGTACACAAAATAATCAAACATAACTGAAATCAAATAAATAAAAAATATAATATTTTTAAACAATTATTTTTAATGTAATTTATCAAAAGTTTAAAAATAATTATTTAGCATTTTATAATTTTTTTTAATAGTTTGAGATTCAAAATCAATAAACCACAGAGAAACCATTCCAAAGAGAGATGAATATTAAAATTTTTTATTTGTTTTTATCGTTGATTTTGTAAAAAAATTATTTTGGTTATAAGTATTTTTAAAAATTATATTAATTTTTATAAAGATTTAATAAAATAGTTTTACTTTATTGTTTGGACAAACAAACTAAGAAATTTATTAATAACTTGTAATCGCAGTAAAAACAAAATTTAACATTTTGAGACTTATAAATTTATTAATAAAAAATAATTGAGCCATTTTTAATGTACTCGTAGGCGACCTTTTATAAATTTCTAAATTGGTCGTTAAATCTAGTTTCAAAAAGAAACTCAAAGTTAACAGTTTTTGTCTGTTCTTTCAAACTTTAACTATGGTTTAAGCAGTTGTTGCTATCTTTACAGCAGTTCAGTAAGTTAAAAAAATCACTAGATTTTCCAGGAGGTGTGGCAAAATTCATTTAACTTAAGACAACATTGGCTGGGTGGAATTGCCAGCTGCGACCACGCCTTCCTATACCTCCCCATCAGATTAGGTGGGCCGATGATATAAGCCTCAAATCCCCGTTCCAGGACTGAACGAAGGAAGAAGACATTTCTAGTGCATGGGGAGTTGGAAAGGAACGCAAGAGGGGAATAAATGACCAGATGTTAGATACTAAAATATACTTATAAGTCATTAAGAATGGGTTTCTGTTTCCTCGTAATGTTTTGAGCGGTTATACGGAATAAGTTTTTACGCTAAGATAGATTGATACGAATCTACACAAAGAAACGTTCAACAGACTGCAATCTAGAAGAAAAAAAATGGCACAGAAAAAAAATCATTCAAATGTTCATTGTTGCTAGAGTTTCATTGATTTGTAGAGCCTGTAACTAACTATTTTAGTGTAAAAATAATTTATGTTCTGTTACAATTAATAATAGTTTACATAATTTGCAAATAACTATATTAAGATGTTTAATATTTTTATAAAATTAACCTCTTACTTATTCATTAAAATTGTGTTCACGTAAAGGAGCTGTAATGTAAATTCTAGTCCTAGAATAAATTCATATAAAGGAATAAGAACTGAGCGTCACATAGATTCTAGATACAGTTATTAAAACTCGAATTACTTGATAAAATATAGATGTCGATTCTATTAATAAAGGTAAAAACAAGTTATTTTTAATAGTTTATAAGTCTTAAAATAGAAAGAAATAAGAACTTTTTAAAATCAATTAATAAATGATCGAGTATTAAAAGTTATAAAGAGTTTTAATAAAATAATTTTTTAAATACATTTTACACTTAATATTTGTTAAGTGGTTGCTTATCAATGTTTATTTATTCATTATTTTTATTATTTAATTTATAAAATCATAAATTATAGATTTAAGCTTCTGTTCTTTATTAAAAACGAGACGAAGATACGAAAGAATGTAAAATAAAACGGTGAAGAATTTTTCTTTACTACATCAGTAACTCTTTATCCGTTCATTAATAAATTTGAAAATAGTGGATTAGTCATCATCAAAATTTAGATCAATATTAATTAATATTAGACAACATAGTCTCACTCATCGTCGATGCTAATTTTCTCTTAGCGAAGTCTTCTTGTTTCTTACTAACTTTAATATTAAGTTTGAATCTTTTAAAAACTGCTAACAAAACTTGGATCTTACATAAATATCGAGGGACTTGAGACCATTTAAAAAAATAACTATTAAAATGTTTAATGAATTATTAAAGGTTACATGAATACTAAAATCATTTGCGGGACGTGAACATTTTATACTAAAATTTGCTAACTAATGACATAAAATATCGATTTAGTACTTAGATAAACAAGTAAATTTAATTACAGAGATTTTCTGTTTTAAAACAAGACAAAACTTGTAAGAATAAAATACTTTCAGAAGATAAATTGGTTTTTTTAATTATAAAAAAAAACCTCAATGTTGTTGAATAACAAAGAAACAAGTGTCGAAGCAAAATATAATTATGAAACATTCCGGAACAGAGATTTTAATTATTGTCTCGAAAAATAAATTACCATTAAAGATAAATGAAAAGTAAGCGACTTGTTTACGATCGAATTTTGTATTCGATTAATATAAAATATCGTTCGGTTCATGTTGTGTTTTTATATTCGGTTATCATTAAAATGACGTTTAATATCAATAAAATACGTAACTTTAGCTATTTTTCGCGAACAACAAAACAAATTCTTTTCGCATTATTTCTCTTTTAATTTTTAACGTAGTAATTTAAACTAATTTTCTTCGGAGAAATTCGATAATGTGTAATTTTATGGAAAGCATCTTTATTATTCACATCATAAAAATGTGTGATTTAAGACTACAGCTAAAAAAACGAGAGCAAGAAAGGTAAACAAGTGATAAGGCGATACGAAATTCGGCAAGGCGACTTAGGACTAATTAAAATAGATACTTATAATTAGAATCTAGTTATTGCATTAAGCGGTGATTAGACATTTCTATGGGGCAAAATAGGAAGTGTTGCGTCGATAGTGTCACTTCCGCATCCTCTCGAGTCCCGGAGCGCAGGAGGAGCCACACCGAGTGTGCAAAAGAGATTAACACGTCGATGACATCACGGGATGCTTAAGATGGCGCTCGGTTCGCTAAACGATAATATCGGCAATATTCGGCGGGCGATAATGGCGGAAATCGCAGTAGGTTACGTCTAAAGGGAAATTAAGACAGCTTACCCAACATTCTGGATGGGTGACGTTGTAGGGCTGATAGGTCCAGGGATGGTCGTAAGCCTTTTAAACGTCCCGATTAAAACAAGAAATCTGAACGTGGGAGACAAACCCAGAAGAAACGGACAGTACAGAGAGACAGACAGAGAATGTGACGAAGGAAAGAGAAGACAGCTAGAGGACACTGTCTGTACTCTCTGGAGGTGCGAGAGAAAGAAGCGAACCCTAATGCCTTCACTTTTATACGTAGATGATAGGAGCCGAGTTGGTGGAGCCAGACAGGAAAACGTTAGGCTGATACTTTAGGCTGGAGACCGTATGGGAGTCGTTAGAATGGGCCGCCCCGCATCTCTCGAGCCGCTAGCTCTAGCAACCGGCATCGCCTTAAGCCTGCAGATTTTGCCTGCGTTTCCCATTTGCTGTCAAGGTATTGGGTTTGCTCGGTCTCCTTGGTAGCATGCGATGAATATATTGGCTGGAACCCAAATCTCTATCTTACCGGAGATTTCCACTTTAATTTCAGATAAAACCCCGAGACTCTAAGCATAAATAACATCACACTCGAGACTCGGATCATCCCTCGATTCGCTAGAAAACCTTCTCCCAGTAAACAAGGCAGAAGAAAGCGAGATTTCATTTACTCACTTTCCTTAACTCCCGGCTTTATCGGCGATGCAACGCTAGCGATTGGATGGACCCAAACAATTAAGTTTTGCCGACGTCAATCCGAAAGGTGAAGAGGAAAAATTTAATAAGCAGCCATTCGCTCAAATCTCTCCTTTCTATTCCCATAAAAAATTCAAAAATTGATTTATTGGATTTCCGGACTTTTGTTTGTTTCTCTGCAAATTCAAATTGGAATTGAAGATTTTCTTTTTTCTTTCTTGTTCTCTTCATAGACGTAAAATGATTTTCTTCGATCAAAAGCACTTCGGGCCCTTTTATATAAGCGACGAAACAAAAATACCACTTCAAAATTTCTTTTATTTTCTTTTTAAATTATAAAAATAATATATTTAAATGCGCTCTGTGAACTTTCATTTTAAAGTATGTGGAACGTGATAAAGTTGTTATAAACATTCGAAATTTTATTAAATATATTTTTACATTGGCTAGCGATTAAGCCGGTATTAAATATTTAAATCTTTTTCGTATGCAAATTTACAGAATAATGAATTATTTTCTGTATAGATAATAAATTTATGTTTCGATTTTAGCACGAATCTTTCCCGGTAAGATTTTTTAAACCCGGAGGATCACCGTCGATCTTCTTTAAATGTCCATCATTTAATCTTAAATTTAATGCAATCCAATTATAGAGGAAACTTCGAAATACAGATTGTTTACATTAAATATTTGAGTGTGAAACAATCGTCTACGGAAATAAAAACGCGCCGATACTTGGACATTTTCTGTACAAACAACTTTGATTGCTCATCACGTTCTCTTTCCAATTTCCATACCTGTCAAAACATAACGTGGTGCAAATTTTAATTAAGAAGCGAGATTTTCCAAACTTGACGGTTTGACGCCGTGCCATCTAAAAATAATAGCTAATCTATACGGTTGTATATCTCCTCCCCTCCTTTCCCCAAGTAATAACTTGGTGAGCAAACTTCGGTTGCTCTCCTGATCACATTAACGTTAACCCTCCAATCCAATGTCCCTTCTTCGCTGCCAGCTACCAATCAATAAGTCATTGAGTAACCATGGCAACAAGAGACACTGTCACTCCGTTAGGTTGTGGATAATTTATTCTCAACGTTTTCCGCTCCGTCTTATCCATCGACGTCAAGTCTTGAGGAATGCATGCAAAATAATCAGAAGGCTCAGCTGGCTTGTTTACTTCGGACGAGAGAAAAATTTCCGCCGATTTTTTTATTATTATTATTTTTTCCCTAATTCTTTTCTTTCGAAATACTTCTTTCCTGATTTTCGTAAACACTATAATCGATTCTTGCCGTTGCGAATAGTTTCCCTGCACAAATTTACTTTATTACAGTATTCTTTTATCTGTCGTAAGCGAGAATCGACTACATTTAAGCTGCCGAAAATGCACATAATACCAGAAGAAGATGACCTATTGTCTTCGATATAATCTATTGTATCCCAGAGCAAAATTTTTTATTGTTTCAGTCGATCCTTTCGGGAAATTTTAACGTTGAAAAAAGTAAAGTAAAGTTGGCGAATGAAAGCTTCGTCTGTGAATTATCGATTGTCAGTCACGGCACAAAACAGAATTATTCTAACTTTTAGCAGCATCAATTTTTTTTTCACTAATTACAGAAATTCCTATTATCGGACTTGTTGAACTCGGTAAATCTAATTAGTAAACGTTATCACTGACAACTGCGATGCTCGACAATTCCCTTTTCCAATTACTGTGCTTCTAATAATCGTCGAAGACCATCTAGACTTTCATACTCAATTTATAGCGTTTAATATAAATCTCGCAGGGAAAGCATTATTTGAGAGATGATCGAGTTAAATGCCAGAAGATTGAAGAATTTTTTTAATCTTTTCGCCAAGTGGATAGGATTTTTACCCCTTTGTAGGTAGTGGAAGACGGGAGGACCCGTCAGCAAAGATCGTAATGGCGTTTCTTTCCCGGAGGACGTTTCTCTTTATAGTGAAGATAAACGATTTGCGAGGTCACCGTAAAAATATTGTCACCGTTATTTATTCCCAAGTTATCCGTCGAGGGGAGGGAAGGTGGCACACGGGGAACATTAGTACGATACTGTCACCAAGCGACTGGCACAAGCCGAGTGAATAGATGACCTAGAGGTGCCGTTTTTACTTCCATTAGAGTGATACCAGTAGTAAATGGTAAGTACTTTATGAAAATCGCTCCTGCAGCAACAGGGATTTTGCAAAATCCTACGGACCTTGGCTGTAGAACACCTGCTTAGAGGGCATAGCGTGTCATCTATCCCTTATTCATTCTTCCTAATGTCTTTGGTGAAAATCTCACCAGATCTGTTTAAAATGTTAAGTTTGTGAATTTTTCTGCATGGCTTTCGTCAAAGTGGCCGGGTGACAAAAGAAATTGCGAAAATGCTACTCTCTTCACTAACCGTCGGAGGCTTTTCGCCAGACGCTTGATCTCCACAAGCTCTTAAAAACACGACGACGAATGAAACTTTTATTTTAAAAGAGATTCCTCCCGCTAGCCGTTCCTGTATTATTTCTCCTAATGGACGACTTTATACGGGATTCAACCGATTCCGAAGAAGCGAAGTAAAATATACCTGGCAAATGGTAGCTGGGGATTAAAAGATGCGATGTGTCGAGTCACAGCACACATATTCATCAAGTGCATTTCCGCATTTACTTGATCTAGTAGCGATGCAATAGCTAAAAGCAATCTAATACCTGACGAACAAAAAGGAATGGAATATTTCTCTCATGTAGGACACGCTCTCTGGGACGGAGAGAGGATTTAAATTGAATTTTATTTCGCCGAGTCTTAATTTGCCGGCGAGCTAGGGCGGATTTTCTTGTAATGTACTTTTGTGCGTCGGAGGCGAAACTTGATACCCAACAACAATTACCTGGCCTAACATAAAAAACGCAAAATTAAACAATGGCTGAAGACAGCGTTTGCGGTCATCCGCACGTTTCTATCTCCAACTTCCTTAGGCATTCTCTTGTTTATGAGAACGGCTTAAACATTACTTCTGCCTGGCGAATTGCTTTTCCTCCATCCTCCGTTGCCAACGTAGTATTAAAAATTCACGGCCGACAAAGGAAGCAATAGAAATCTCTTTAAGTTCGCTTTTACCCAACAGGAAAATTATAGATTAAAGAAATATATAAAGTTACCAAAAATTCCAGCAAAATTCAAGGCGAAATTTATCTCCTATTATCGAGCCATTTCTTCAAATCACTTTAAATATTTACGGATAAAAGTATTTCAATTTTTTTTTCTCTTTACATTTACTAAACCCGTAATTAATTATATTAAAAATTAGAGGACCTATTCAATTCGTTAATAAAATAGAAATAATTATGCAATTAGAAAAAATTAACAATTACATGTAGAATTTATAGACTAGAGAGAAGTAGCGATCCAATTATCATCGTATGGAAGTATCGCGCTTTGTGCATAAAATAACTTTCGTAGACGACAGAGTAAGTATATTTAATTTATTTATCTTTATTTTACTATTAGATAATCACATGACTAAAATAACCGGTGTTTTTTAGAATTTTTTATGATTTATCTTAAACTTTTAGTCAAACAGGGACGTGGTGTATGCTCCCTCTTCTTCCTTGAATACGCTTATGTAATATTAAATAACGATCACCAAAAAATTTTCAGATATAGAATCTTTAAATTTAAATTGTCGAAGAATAATTGCATTAAATATATAATTGAATAAAACATTACATAAAATAAACATTATTTTAAAAATTTATAAAGTTAAAAAAAATGAATTTAACGAAATAAGTTCTGAACCTTTTTTATATCGAATTATCTCCAGCGAATTGCATAAAATTGAATTAAATTTGTACATTTGAATAAAAAAATCTACCGTGCTGGTGAATTATACACATTCAAAAATAACTTAGAGATTTAAGAAAGTTAATCTGGATTAAAATATGCACATAGATTATGGAATTAAAAATGATATAGATTTATTTAGAATTAAAGAATTTACATTTTTAGAATAAAACTCTCCAACATTTTGTATTACTTTGACTATTTTTTTTAAATCTTTATAATAGTTTTTTTATATATATTTTTAATTGTTTTAAACGACTTTCTTCAGATATTACTAATCGTAATTTTGATGCAGATCCGTAGATTACCTACGAGTTCTACAGAGTGTGTATGGCTGTTCGAAATAACTTCTATTTAGAATTCTCAAATCCATATATCTGTCTTATTTATGCTGAAAAAATCTCGTTAACTCGATATAGACCTATTCCACTTTCAAATCCTGTCCATTTTTTTGAAAGAATATATAAAAATCATTCTTTTCCTGTATTGAGAATGCACATTCTTTACATCTTACAACCCAATTTTCGATTGAAAAACCATATCTAAAACTTATTCTTCATTTTTCTTATTTTTTCGTATTCAGTAAACATGTTTATTTTAAAAATATTTATTTAAATTAAAAATTATTTACGAAGAAATAAGATATTATAAATTATTTGTTATGTATTAATTTTTACATTTTTTACATAACCGAGATATCCCTGATAATTATTTATTAAAGAAATTTGAGGAGAGATAGAAAAGTTTTGCGAAAAAATACGAAAGTTGCAGAAAAACTATTAACATTTTTTGCCGGAATTATTAATAAAACATTACAGTATCAATTAACATAGAAAGGAAATCCGTGAAAACACTCTGGTTTAGATCCTGTAAGAAAAATGAATGAGATTTTTTCTTTTTTCTTTGAGAGACTGATGCTCCTTTCTTTTGTAAGGAACGTTCAATTAATCTCATCCTTTCTATACTTTTCATTAATATCCTTTTTCGTGCATAGAATTTTCTTGCGTTATTTTTAAATATTTATAACTCTATTTTACACATAGAAATTGCATTTAATTAATTTTTAAAGTAAGAAATATCGAGACTAAATTATATTTCGAAACATAAATAATACCGATTTTCAGAAATTCTCTCCCAATCCTCTGTTATGGACCTTAAAATTTAGTAGACCTTAACAGACGTTTGAATCATGATTATGGGTAGCAATAACTGGACAATCTAAACAATAAGTCTATTTAGAATTGATGCTAAACTGTAAAATGATTCAGACAACCTGGATTCAATCAATCCCGCCATGATCAATATCTTCCTCTTTCCTTAATCCCTAATACGACTGATGTTGATTAAAGTTCTGGACAACAGTTTCTTTCAATAACCAGAAAGCAATCTAAAGACTGAAAGCTCGTAATTCAAAGCATCTATATGTAATAAGGAATACGAAATCTTCATTTATT